AAGGCCAGCCTGAATTACAGAGTGAGATCCTGTCTCAAATAAAACAAAACAGCAAAAGACTCCGCCTTTCACCTTGGGTTCCCTCTCCCTCTCTAGGGAAGCTCGCCCCATGGCAGCAGCCCAGCCCTGAGAAAATTTGCGTGGAACATCCCGTGCAGAGGGACCACGGCTGCCACATCGCATGAGTGAGCTCAAAGTGGGCCCCCTCACACCAGCGAAGCCTTCAGATAAAACTGCAGCCCTGACCAACAGCTGCTGATTTTTCCAGTCAGCCTGGGGTAGAGGACTTTCAGTGCTAAATCCAGAGGGCTCCTGGGCAAGTTAGGGCAGCTGGTCACACTTTGACAGCATAACCGCAGCCTCAGAAGCGACCTGGGTTCTGGGCCGCTAAGCTGCTGCTTTGTGCTCACGGAACACTCAGCTGTAGAGTGACCACAGCACTTAGAAAAAGTAGATCAGATAGACGATATACCCAGGACCAAGGGCTCCCCTTCATCAAACTCTTAGAGACCAGCGAAGTAAAACGACCACAACCGGTCACTACACACCCACCAGAACGGAGGGGGCCAATGCCAGCAAGAATGTGGGAAAAGTGGACCTCTGTCGCGACCCTCAGGGATATAAGGTGCCACTGACCCTTGGAAAACTTTGCTAGCAGCTCCCACCGCTGAGCAGACACAAATCCTGTGTCCCAGAAATTCTGCCTTAGCTCGGCACCGGCGCAGCAGGCTAATATTATGACTTAGTTATTGCGGACTGATCTGGCCGCCATCCCCCGAGTGCAACGATGAAGGATTAAATAGAAGAGTCAAGTGGTGTGGGTTAGGGCTCCAGGAGGGTCAAAACCCTCTAACAGAATTCGAGGTTCTCTGGGGGCTGAGACAAAGAACTTCTCTGGGCGGCCCGTATTTATTTGGTTTTCTGACAAAGGAGGGACATACTGAAGAAAACGCAGGAATCGAAGCAGAACCTTGGGAGACAGTTCAAAGACTTCCCCAGGTAGTAAGGTATGCTAATTCAGAGACTCTCTTATCTCCAGGTTGACACTCGTTGTAGGAGTGTGGAGCCTGCAGCTGCAGTCTCCTTTTAGCTAACTGGGGTTGAGGCCAGGCACCCTCAGCTGTGTCCTTATCTTGTCCTTTGAGGCGTCCTGGCTTGACAGGCCACTGCAGGCCTCAGCCGGGACCAGTGACTCACAGAGGTTCACCTACTATGAGTCCGCTGCCCTTCTCCAGACCAGGGGCCCGGGCCTTGGGCATGCTCACAAGTACACAAGGGGAGCCAACTGGTTCACTTTAAATCCGACTCAGAGCCACTTCCTAGTGGTCTCCACCACCAGCAGGACAGACACAGTCATTCACCCAGACACAGAGATGTTCATAGCAAGACAGGGCATGACACAGCCGGGCATGGTGCCGCATGCCTGTGAGCCCAGCACACGGGAGGCTGAGGCAGGAGGATCGTTGCAAGTTTGAGAGCAGCCTGGGCTACAAAAGTGAGCTCAAGGCCAGCCTGAACTGCATAGGAAGACCCTGCCTCAAAACGATAAAAAAAAAAAGCCAGGGCCTTGGGGTTCACTGCCATCAGCGCCCCTGGCCAGCATAGAAGACTTGACCCGGAAGAGGAAAGGGAAGATGAGCAGCAGGAAGGAGGGAACCTTTATGAGCAGCGGCAGTCTCTAGCGGGGCCGCGCTCCTCCCACACACATCCACCCAGGGCAACGCAGGAGCCGCAGCTGAGCCGTGAAGCACACAGCTGGGAGACCGGGTCTTCATCCCGGCTCAAGGCACCTTCGAGCCAGGACAGCTCATCTGCAGGCAAACCCGGGGTTGAATCAGAGAACGCAAAATGATAAAGACAGAGGGATGCAGGCCGACCTGGGCCCCCTAGGGCTCCCCCTCCAGCCCTGCCCCAAGTGCAGACCCCAAGTGCCCCTGCACAGCCAGGCTCTTTGCCGCCCAACCCAGGTGCGCCGTGGCCAGGTCCCCGACTCACCCCAGCTCTGGGCCCTGGACTATACCAGCCCGTCGTAGAGGGACAGCGCTTGCACGATGGAGGGGTCCGCCTTGGACCCCTCCTGGAACTCCTGCAGCGTCAGCTTCCCGTCCGCGTTCTGTGGGCAGAGAGAGGCGGCTGAAGCAGGAGACCCCGGCCTCCCAGGAGGCCGGTTTCTGGTGAGCCCAGCCCCGGCCTGGAACCCCGCAGGACTCCCGGCATCGGGTGAGGAAGGCAGGGGACAGGGGCTCAGGCGGGCTTGGTGTTCACGGCCTGCTGAGGACAGCAAAGACCCTCTCTGCGGCCCTGTCTCCGGACCCCAGCCCGGAAGAGGCCTGGTGGGGAGACTGGGGTGTGGGGAGACTGGGGTGTGGGGAGCTCCACGCTTGGCAAACCAGGAGCCCCACGGCTCTGTGCTTTGTACCGCCGCTCTGCCTGCGTAAATTGTGGTCTGTCCCAAGGGCGAGGAGCGCTTGCATTTCCGAGGTCACTTTGGGAGGGTACAGAAGCCAGCCTCACCCAGGATTCCCCAGCTGGGAGCTGGGAAGGCAGATGCCTGCCCCAGCAAGGCGGGGCTCCAGGGTCAGCACTGTTTTCCGAAGTCGGGGGATTTGAGGGTGTTCGTTCAAAACCCATCATCGCTCTGGCAAGGAGCACCCTCGAATCCACCATGAAAGGCTGCTACGGCTTCTCTGCGGCCCCGGCATAAACCTGATTACCGCCGGGAGACCGGCTCAGGCGGCCCCCTCGAGGGCGCTAATCTCTCATTTTTAATTAAGAAAGTGCCGGCCTTGGGCTCCGGCTTTCAGGGCTGGCACCTGTACCCCACCAGAAGGCACAAGAAGCCTTCAGCCAGAGATTTGTATTCTGTTACTGAAGGCACCCAGCCCTGGCTGCCTGGCCGCTAGGATTTCTAAGTTAATTTACGTTTAAAAGCCTTATTCTCATTTAAAAAAAAAAAAAGTTTGGAGCTGGGGATGCAGCTCAGTGGTAGTGAGGGGGCTGTGTGTCCGAGGCCCAGGTTTGATCACCAGCATGGGGAGGAGGGTGGAGGACAGATGGACTGACAGACAGATGGATGGGAGGATTGGCTGGCTTCTCAAATCAGGTCTGTAGATAGAATTCAGCGGGTCTGTGAACATCGATTGGAAAAATCCAGATTTTCCTTTTGCTAGGGCTTAGCCGAAAAGCAGCTGTCCCTTCTGTGTGCCTCTGGGTGACACCCCCACCCCACCCCAGCGGGACCTGTGACTGCAGCCTCTTCCTAACACATCCCGGTTGCTGCCGACACCACAGCTCTGAAGGACGGAGTGTCACAGCCCGGAATACTTCCCCACAGTGCCCGGCAAGCCGCACCCCGGCCCTGAGCCGCTGCCACATTTTATTGTTTAATGTGTGGATCTGAAGCTCGTGAGCTGCTGCGTCACACAGAGTCTTTATAAAACACACTTTGACAGCTGCAGTCCAAAATAAGCACCTTCCCTTCTGATCCTCTGGATTTTATCTTCTGCGGTGAAAGCTTTTATTCTGAGGAGTCCCTAGATCTCTCCAAAATGCCAAAGAGGTCCCCAGCAAAAAAAAAGTAAATAAATAGGCCAGCCACGGTGGCGCACACCTGTAATCCCAGCATTCCGGGGAGGCTGAGGTAGGAGGATTACTGCAAGTTCAAGGCCAGCCTGGGCTACATAGCAAGACACATCTCAAAAAACAAAACAAAAAAAAAAAAAAAAAAGGAAAGAAAGGCCAAGGACCTCACGGGTAAACTTAGAAGTCTGCACACTGGATGAAAGTGGCTTCCAGTTCGTAGCCATGCCTCTAGCCGGTCCCCTGGGGGTCAGTGGTAAAGCCAAGCCAGGCCCCTGCTCCCCGCCCCCACGCCCTCCCCCTCCCAGTGGGGCCCGGCTACCTTGTCCATCATGGCAAAGATCCGGTCCACCCTCTTCTCGGGCGTGTTCTCCTCCTCGGGCAGCTCCACGGTGTTCCCCTGCAGGGCGGCGCAGCACTCTGGCTCCGGGCTCGAGGCTGCGGCCTGGCCTGGTCCAGCCGGGACCCGACTCCCCCTCCCCCCCCTCCCCCACTACCCTGAACATTGCCCCGCTGCGCCCCACTGTCTACCCTGCCCCAGCGATGTCCAGAGCGCCCCGGCCCTCACTAGGCCCACTCTGTCCCCAGCCGATCGCCAGCCCGAAGGGACTCCCCACGGGCCACACGGGCCACCAGCTCAATGCCCCCCACGGGCCCCTCACCACCATCTGGTAGATTGCGTCCACGATATCCAGCATCTCGTTCCTGGTGATGTAGCCGTCGTTGTCCAAGTCATAGAGCTTGAAGGCCCCTGTAATCAAGCAGCCGGGGCTGTGCGACCCTGGCCAGGGCGGTGGGAGGCCCCCGAGGCCCCTGCGCTCTACACCTCAGTGCCCAGCAATGGACACGCATGCCCCGCACCATCGGGACTAGGGCTGGAATAACATTCAAGCAAATAAGTGGTGTACAGTGTGGAGGCGCGAAGCTGGGGCCTGGCCTCAGAGGCCTGTGGGGATTCTGACGGCCATCCCCAAGAACAGGGACCCTGAGCCCAGGCGCTCCCTGACTTCCTGCCTGACGCCAAACTTGAAGTCACACTCCTTCCCTGTTTGTTGAATGACTGAGTGAAATCAGTAGTCAAAACAGTGGCCACCAAAGAGGCAGATGAAGCGTGGAGCTGGGGCCTCTGAGCCCACCCCACATGCCCGCTGCCCCAAGTCTCCACCTGCCTGAAAGCCACCCTATTCCCCCTGCTTCTGGTCCCCCAGGGCTGCCTCCCTCTGCCCTCGGACCACCTGCCACTGCCCACCTAGGCCCTGGAGGGAGGGACAGCACTTACATCGCAGCTTCTCATCCAGGGTTCCCCTCGAGGTCACCGAGAGCGCCTGGATGAACTCGGAGAACTCGATCCGCCCGTCCTGAAGAGGCAGAGGGGACGGAGTGGGTCAGCACCAGACCACGGGGTCGGGACAGATCTTGGAGGGGCGTGACAAGGGCAGCAGGCATAGGATGCTCATGACCGACAGGCAGAGTGAAGGATGAGGGGACAGAGACAGAGGGTGACCCCACCCTGGGGCACCTAGGGAGGAAGCTGGGGCCCACGGCAGTGCTGGCACCTGGGAAAACGCCCACTGTCTGAGCCTCAGTTGCCTCATCCACAAAATGGGGGAATGAAAAGTACCTGCCCCTGGCCGGGGGCGGTAACCCATGCCTGTCATCCTGGTACTCTAGGAGGCTGAGGCAGGAGGACTACAAGTTTGAAGCCAGCCTGGGCAACTTAGGGACTTAGTGAGACCTTGTCTCATAATAAAAAAAAATAAAAAGGGCTGGGGATGTGGTTCAAGCCAGAATACCAGGTACAATCCCACAGGTATGTGTGAGGGCCCACTAATTGTAGCTCATGTTGAGGACTGGTCAGGTAGTGAACGTTCAGAAAACGCCAATAATGACGGTTAATCCTGCTCCTGATTCGGGAGGGATCGCCGTTTGTACATACGGGGAAATTCAGTGTTTACATGCTTGTCCACTGGGGGGGGGGGCAGAGTACACATTACATGTGCGGCTGTGCACGCGTGCACGAGAGTGTTCATGCATGTGTGCACGCATCTGTATATGTCTGCATGCGAGCACGCGGGTGTTGGCCCGTGCGCATGTGCGGGGTAGCCCTGCCTGCCAGGTGCGCGCGCATCTGTACATCCCCGGCCCATGCGCATTGTCCCTGGAGACGCCGCGGCTCAGAGCTCACCCGTCGACGTCCATCCACGCCCTGCTCAGCTCACCTTGTTCTCATCAAAGACGTTAAAGACGAACGTGGCGAACTTGGTGGGGTCCCCGAACGGGAAGAACTGCTTGTAGATCTTCTGGAAGCCGGCGGCGTCCAGCTGCCCGCTGGGGCAGTCCTTGATGAAGCCCTTGTACCTGGGCAGGGGCAGGGACAGGGTGAAAGGACCGTGTCACTGTGGGGAGCACCTGCCTAGGGCCCAGGAGATTGGTGATCCCAGCTCAGAGTGACTCCAGAGACAGAGTCACACACACTCGGCCACCATAGGCGTGCGCCCATCCCTGTGTGACCCGAGACAAGTGACACCACCTCTCTGAGCCTCGTCAGCATAAGGAAGGGGAGTCAGCGGGGGTCCACGGACACTGCGTCCAGAGTGCTGCCTGGCTCCACACCAGGGCTAAAAAGTAACCCTAGAGTTCCACACCGCACTCCTTGCACCCCAGGGCACCAGAGCCGCCCGAGTGGCCCCCGGCCCTACGTGGACACGCGCCCCTCCCAGCCAGCTCCAGCCCCGGTGCATCCACCTGGACTTGTCCGCTCCACCCCAGTGCCCAGCACGCGGCCCTGCGTCCGCATCCCAGTCCAACTCTGCCACTCCTTAGTGGACAGCCTGGGGCAAATGGCTTCACCTCTCTGAAACCCCATTTCTGCACTTAGGAAAAGTCATGGCCATTTATCATGAGCATCTGTGGGAGCTGGGGAGATGGTGCGTGGGCCCCCAGGACCACACGTTTGAAAAAGCATGACTTGAGCCACTGCACTGCCCCACCCTGTCATTAATGCCCGCCCTTCAGCGCTGTGAACTTAAATGTGTGCTGTTTCCTGTGTGTGCCCCTCTCCCTCGGTGGGCACACACTCCTCCCAGGACAAGTCCTTCCACCGCGGGGAGCCGGGGGCTCTGCCCTCATCAGCGCCCGGTGTGACCTCCACCGGGCCAGTCATGGCGGGGAACTCGGCGTATCCTACTCACTGAATGATGGCAACAGCCCAAGGAGTAAGATACGACCACGAAGCCCATTTTAAATATGTGGAAACTGAGGCTCAGAAAGCACAAGTCATTCCCGAGTCCCCCTAGCCTGGGGGCATCAGAGGTGGGGACAGAAGGTGGGAAATGAAGGGTCCCGATAGTTAGAAGACCAGATCGCTAACTTCTACACTGTCAGCTGTGACCGTGGGGAGATTCCACTCATCCGGCCATCACCGGAGAGGATTGTGGGAGAATCCTCTCAGACCTAAAGGACCAGAATGGACAGAGCCACACAGGCTGCTGAGGGCCAGGTAAGCGTGAGTGACCAAGGCCAGATGTCCAAACTAGGCAGGTTCCAGGCAGTGCCTGTGGGCCCCCTGGAGCAGGCTGAGGACAACCTGTGCCTGGCTCTGCACTCAGCTGTCCAGCTGTCCTTGTTCCATCGTAACCTCGGCTCACAACAATGTCCCCAACGACCCCACAGAGGAGGACCCAGAGGCTCAGAGAGGTCCCAGCTTCATCCCCATATGATGTTTTCAGCTCACCTCAGGGTCTACTGGGGTTGCCGTAGCTCCCACACCGGAGGACACAGAGCAGGACAGAGCCAGGGACAGTAACACCAAGCAGTGTGCTCCGTGCTCCTCTCCCCTCCCACAGCAAGAGGAAGGGACCCAGCCCCCCCCCCCCAGCTTTCCCTTGAAGTTGCCGCCGCGGCTTCCCTTGCTGGGCCAATGAGCAGAGTTTGAAGGATAAGATCTGTTCCATGACCCCAGGGCACCTGGCCAGGATGGACCGGGCAGAGGGTGGAGACATGCCCTGTGCCAGGACTCCACCAGACCCTGGAGGCCAGGAGGGTGGATTTACCCCGGCTGTGTTCCTTTTTGTGTGTGTGTATCTTTTTGAGACAGTCTCACTATGCAGTTCAGGCTAGCCTTGAGCTTACTCTGTAGCCCAGGCTGGTCTCAAACTTGAACCGATCCTCCTGCCTCAGCCTCCCGAGTGCTGGGATTATAGACGTGCACTACCACGCCTGCTTCCCTCTGTGTTCCTACAGCCCTTCTTTGTTTTGAGACTGTGTCCTGCTACGTAGCTCAGGCTGGTCTGGAATTCTCAGCCATCCTCCTGCCCCGGGCTCCCAAGTGCTGGGACTGCACATGTGTGCCGCCATCTCGTCTGGTCCTCATGGCCCTTCTAACCTCTCTGCCACTGCGGTTTGCCTTACTCAGAGGATCTTAAAAGGCTGTTAAAAACAATGAAGATAAAAGGCGCTTGGCGGCGTCTCCCGGGTCCTGCAGCCGGCTCCGGGTCACTCCCAGGAAGGCAGACACAGCCGCTGAGCAACTCCCGAGGGCTGGCGGTGGGGGCAGCCTCCAGGGCCCACAGCCCTAGCACCCCCAGCGGGGTCCAGAAGCCCCTCCCCCAGCCCTCGAGCTCCCTGTGACCTCTTCTCCACTTCGAGGCACCGGCCACCCCATCGCCAGCCCGCCCGGCCCCACTGCAGCAGCGGTCCTGCTCACTCAGGCGACGCTGATCAAATTCCTCATCTCCTGAACGGAAGGTCCTGGTCCTGCCTCCGTGAGCAGCCTGTCGGCCTGGTGACTCCCCACCCTCCTGGTGTTCCTCTCTCTCTCTCTCTCTCTCTCTCTCTCTCTCTCTCTCTCCCTCTCTGTGGTACCCAGGTGATTCACACTAAGCTACATCCTCTGCCCTTTTTTATTTTGAGACAGGGTCTCCATAAATTGCCCAGGTTGGGCTGGAGCTTGTAGTCCTCCTGCCTCAGCCTCCCAGAGTGCTGGGATGACAAGTGTGCCACACCGTGCCTCGCTCCTCTTGGTAATTTCCCATCCATGAACCCCTCCCCTGCTCACTGCCTCTGGTCCAGGGGCACTGGGAGTTTCAGCCCAATCTCTGTCCCTTACTGCGACCCAGGCAGCCAACCTGAACAAACCCCGCTCACCATCACCTGCTCAGCAGCTGCTTCCTCCAGGGAGTCAGTCAGGCCCCTGATCCAGACCTCCGGGGTATCCTCTGTGCCCGGCGGGGACCACACTATCACAGGTGCCCTCCCTGGAGTTTGAGCTCCTGGATGCCCCTATGCCAGGGTGCCCCACATGTGGCCTGAACAACGTAGGCCTAGAAAATGCACTCACGCAAACCACCAGGTAGGGCAGAGAAAGCAAGGGCCCAGCCCGGGCCTGCAGACCCTGGCCTGGGCCCCAGAGCTCCTGGGCACGGTTAGAAAAGCATCTGTGTGTACGGATGGGCTGCTGCAGGCCCAGAGAGGGAGCAAGTACAGCCCAAGGTCACACAGCAAGTCTGCAACAGAAACAGGGCTCAGATCCAAGGCTCCGGCTCCCCCCTCCACCGTGCAAGCCGGGCTGCTCCACCCCCATGCAACGTAGGCAAGCTGAGGTACCCAAACATTATGTAACCCATTGTTCATCCCGGAGCGGTGGGGGGGAGGCACCTGCCCAGGCTGGAGCAGAGCGAGAGGGACGTGCTGCAGCTCCCCACCTGGCGCCCCCAGACCTCTAATCACCCTGCAGACGCCATGCCTCCCTCCATGTAATTCAGAGGTTCAAGCCATGCATCCAGGGCTGGCAGAGGGGCAGTCCCAAAACAACCGCACCCCTCCCACAGCGGGGGCCACCAAGGGAGCTGCCACCTCAGGACACAGATGGTGCCAGGGAACCTGATCCTGGGTGACAGGGAGATGTGACTCCCTCCCTCTCCAGCCCGGGGCAGGCCCCAGCCCGCCAGCCGCCTCCTCCTGCCCCTGTGGAACACGCTGCCAGGGGCCCAGGGCGGCACACGGCCCTAACCTGTTGCACTGGGCCAGGATCCTGCACAAGCCCTGCCCCACAGCGCCTTGCCCCCTGCTCCCCACCCCACCCCACACTTGACACTTGGGGACAGACCACCCTCTATCGCAGGGACACTGTGCGTTATACGGCAGCAGTGTCCCCAGCCTCCAGCTACCCACAGACCTGGGAGGTGAGGGCCCTGACACCCGCCTCAGGGATGGGGGAACTGCGCCCCTGCTGGTTCAGGGCCTCCTTGTGGCCGTTTCTCCTGCTCAGCCTGCCCCTTCCCTTCCCCTCACCCCCACAGCATCACTGCCTCCAGGCCCGGGGCCCAAAGACCAGGGCACACTCTCGGCGCCCTGGGCTGGACGGGGCGTGAGGGGCACCTCTCACAGTGCTGAGACTGACCTGTGTCCCTGAGGCACCGCCTGGGCCATCGAGGCAGGGACAGTCCAGTTGTGCTACGACACAGTAGTCCTCAGCCAGCGTCACAGCCACGTGGCCGGAAGTGGGCTCGGGGGCAGGGCCGGGGCCCGGGGGCCAGCTGTTGCCAGCGCCTCCTGCTTCACTCTGCACCTTGCTGGCCCAGGTCAGGCCAAGGGGAGGGGCAGAGCGGACATGAGGGGCAGCCTGGTGCCGCAGCGTGACCAGGTAGGGTTCAGGTTGAGATCTCGGGCCCAGCCCCTGAATCTCCAGGCCCTGGAGGACCGATGAGCCCGGGGGTGTCCCACGCAGGCCCCAACCTCAGACCGAAGTTTCAGCGAGCAGCGGAAGGGAGCGGCCAGGCCAGGGGCCCTTCGTTACGGCCATCGTAATGCCCCCACCAGAGACCCCTGAGAAGGGAGAGAGGCCCTTGGACCCCTCCGGGGGAGGCGAGGCAGGCCCAGGCCCGCAGCTGCAGCCCAGTGGTGGGTACGCAGGCTGCTCTGCAGATGGGCGAGGGGGTGAGAGGAAACCCAGCGCCCACAGCTACCTGCTTACACCCCACTGCAAGGGAGGGAAGGGAGATCTGCCGCTCCGAGAACACCAAGGCTGGCTGCCATTTGCGAATCCCGCCTCCTGTCCCCGCTCCTGCCCCCAGCCCCCTGCAGGCCTAGGCCGGCTGCCCACCTGCACCCCCAGGGGGACCCCCTGCACCTCGTAGCCTGGGTCTCCGATGTCCCAGCCGCCAGCACTGGCCCGGCACACAGCAGGTGCTCAGCAAGGAGCGGATGAGTGAATGCAGGTGTGTGTGCTCGTGGGGACACCAGGTCCCGTTCCTACGAGGCCTCTGGTTCCTTCGGGCCCCGCACCAGCGCCAGCACCAGCACCGCCTTGCTCGTGCCCCACAAGCCCCAGCCTGCAGGGACCTTGGAGCTCAGCGGCAGGGGCGCGGCGGGAGAGCAGCCCGCGGCTCCGTCTCCCCTCCCTCTCCCGTCAAGGACAATGCGGCAGCTGCGTTCCTGCTGTGCCGGCACCAGAGGTGGGAAAGGGGAGCCGTGGGGAATAATAAAGCAGCACCCCAGGCTGCAGCGAGGCGGTGGGCACAGCTGGGAGGGCAGCGTGGTGGTGGCAGACGGATCCCTGCCATCTCTCCCCTCAGTCCCCTCCCAGAACTCACTGTGGGAGGCCTCCTCCCGCTCCCAGCCGCCCCCCCCCCGCCCCCCGGGGCTTCAGCATCCCACAGCGCTGTGTGGCCTGGGTGAGCGTCTCCCCTTCTCTGAGCCTCTGTTTCTCCATCTGTAAAACGGGGCCACTCCTGGGACTTGCCGCAGGGCCCTGCTCTAGGGACCAGCAAGCACCGCCCACGGGGGGAGGCAGAGGACGTGATGGGAGCCCTCCTCGTGGCCCTCCCTTGCGTGGGATGGGCCAGCTGGCCCCGCCCAGGCGCCTGTAGGATCCTTCTGCTGCCACCCACTGCCTGCCTTATTCTGCTGGGGTGTTTGGTTATTATCCAAGGAAGAGAATTTGGAAAACAGAAAATATGAGCAGACGAAAAGGACCCACAATCTACAATCCCACCGCCCACCCCCTGGGGGCCACAAACGGACTCTAAGCAGGAGGCCACCACCCAAGGCCACCCCAAAAGCTCTCCCTTGGATGCCCAAAGGGGACCCCCACACCTCTGCCGGTCCCTGTTTCCCTCGCCCACCCCTGATGTGTCAGCTACCCACCCATGGGCTGGGATCAGGAACCTCAACTTTTCCAAGGGAGAGGCTGACATCAGGGGTGTTACAGTGGCCAAGTGCTGCCCGGCTTGCTCTTGCACAAAGGGCTAAGGGGACAGTGGCCTGAGGACCCAGCCTCTACCCCGAAGGCCGGTGCTACAGTCCCAGGTCACGGGGCCAGGCTCAGGCCAGCCAAGGGACAGTGACTAGGTTCGCTCGGTGTGGCTGCAGCTTGGAGGAGACAGACCCCAGCTCTGTGCTCTGTGATCCATTCATAATGTCTACCAGGGGCACGGAGGGAACAGAGAGGGCAAGGAGGCCACCATTTAACCACCTAGCGGGGCTGTGAGGTGTGTTATGTCTTAGAACTAGACTCTCCCCCCAGAAGGCTCATGTGGTCAGAGGCCAGGCTTTGAAAGGCAACTGGAGTGTGGGGGCGCCATACTGCCTCCCGTTAGGAGGCAGGGCCTGGGTGGAGTGGTCACTGAGATGTGAGCTGGAAGGGTAGGTTCTTGCCCACGGCCCCTCCCTTCTCTCTCTGCCTCCCGGTCACCGTGACGCGAGCTGCCTTCCTCCACCAAGCCCTGCCGCCATACCTTTCTGCCTTCGAGCCAGCTGTCCATTGACTGAACACCCCCAAGCCGTGAGCCAGATTCAACTTCTCCGCCTTTAAATTCTGGGGCCACCATGAGGATGGGACAGCTCGCATGTGTCTATTTTGTTTTGTTTTGTTTTGTTTTGTTTTGTTTTATTTTGTTTTGTTTAAGACAGAGTCTTGATATGTAGCCCAGGCTGCCCTTGAACTCTTGGTAACCCTCCGGCCTCAGTCCCTCACGCACTGGGACTACAGGTCTGCACCACCACGCCTGGCTCATGGCTGTCTCGTGCCCTCCCAGTGACACTGACCACTGCCTGCCGTGTCCAGGACTCCTTAGGGGGTGCTGGGCCTGCTCACGGCTCCAGGAAGCCTCTGCTGCATCCTTCACCTGTCACTCAAATACCCACACTGACGTAAGAGCCCAGGTCTGGAGCCCCCCACCTCACATCACCCCAGCCCTATCCCCTCCCAGGCACAGACCCGGGGACACCTCGGAGTCTCAGTGTCCTCATCGGACATGGCGGGGGGAGGCCACGTCCACCCAGGATGGCTCCCAGGAGTCAACCAGATCATGTGTCAAAGGCACCAAGGGCAGCTGTGGGGAGGCAGAGAGAGGCCGGGGGTCCCAGGCTGTCAGGGGAGAGTGCAGGTCAGTGAGAGGTACGAGATACACACCACCCTCACCCCACAACCCTGCCCGCCAGGCTGGAGGTCCCGGGAGGGGCCTAAGGGGAAGGCGCAGAAGCAGACAGGGAGGAGGGACCAAAGAGTTCCAGTTCACGGGAGAAGAATAATTAAGGCTGGCCAGAGGGCAAAGGTAAAAGGGCACAGGGAATTTGGCTGTCACCTGCATTCCTGTAGTCCCAACACAGGGAGGCCGAGGCAGGAGGATGACAAGTTCCAGCCCCACCTGGGCAACTTAGTGACTTAGTGAGACCCTGTCTCAAAACAAGAAGTACAAAAAGGGCTGGGGATGGAGCTCCACGGGGGAGGCGGGGCAGTGCGGCTGGCAGGGCCAGCAGGGCTGCACTGAGCAACGTCTAGGAACCACATAACGGAGCTGAGGGTGAAGACTTCACCCATGGTCCAGGGTGGGGCCTCACAGAAGCCAGACAAAGACTCCCATGGCTGCTCAATGCATGGGGAAGGGGAGAAAACACCAGGGTGGAAATCTAGGATGGCTTCCCGGAGGAGGAGGTCAGGTCTTCCCTACTGCCCGAGTCACAGTGACACACAAGCCACCCCGTCCCCCTGCCAGGAGCAGGCATCACTAATCCATCACAGAGCTCATCCTTCCAACCTCAGAACCCTTCCTAACACAGCCAGCCGCCAGGCAGCCACTGTGGATGCCCACAGCTGGAGTCCGGAGGAAACCCATCTGCCAGCCCTGATCTGGTCTAAGCGATCATTTTACAAAAGAGGCAACGGAGGCAGAGAGGGAAAGCGATTTTTCAAGGTCACAGGAGGAAGCAGTCCCAGCCCCCAACGAGTTCCTTTGAAAGCAGAGGCTGAGGGCACCCAGCCGAGGGCCCCCCCATCACAGGCACCCGGCCTGCCCACCGCGTCCAGCACAGAGCCCCCAGCCCGGGCAGGAGGGGGGAGAGAGGGGGCAGTGCGGAGGGGACGGCAGCTACTCACCACTGCTGCACCTCCTTCTCGGTAACTGCAAGAGAAAACACAAGAGTGCCTTTAGCTCGGGAGGTGGCCCTGGCACCCCTCCTGCCCTCCCACCCCACAGCCGGCCCACCCAGGCCGGGCAACCGGGACCACGCCCCCCAGTGAACAGTCCCAGGCACCAGCTCCATACCAGGCACCCTGGCATGAGATGGCACTGGCCGCATCCTCCCACTGCCCCCTTGGCACCCCTGCCATGCCCTGGAGGCTCGGGGTTCACCCTCCCAGCAGGACACGTTCTCTGCCCTCTCTGCCCTGGGACAGGAGGGTCTGTGACGGTGCTGGCTCCCTGGCACTCGGCTGCCACTGCCTGCGAGCTGGTTCCAGGCTAAGTGGATACCACTCTCTGCCCCGAGGCCCCCTGCCTTCCCCTCACCCTGCATCTCCAGGAGGACCAGGCACGGCTTCACAGGGAGCCAAGAACCAAAAGCCGGACCAAGCTGCACAAACTCCTGCGGCAGCCTCTGCCCAAACAGCCTTTGCCTAACCACAAAGCAAACCAGCGTCTGCTCTGAGAAGCACTGAAATCAGGACAAGCCGGAACCAGGCCACGGTTCCCTCCAGAACCACCTCCACGGCCACCATCTCCCATCTCCCTCTGTGTGACTGAGGGGTGCCCCTGAGCTCCTTGTGCCTCAGTTTCCCTGTCTGTAAAGGCAGGCAGGACAGTACCTGCCACACAGAGCTGTCCCCAGAATTCAATCCCACCAGGTACAGAAGCTTCTGCGTCCCCAGAACAAGGGCAGCCAGGCACCCGGACAGCTCAGCATAGGCTTGTCGGGGGCAGGAATGCACGGGGGAACGAGCGAATGAACGAACGAACGAACGAACGAGGACAGGACGCGGCACTGCGGAGGGGTGCGACGGAGCTGGAATCTGCTCCCCGCGTCGTGGTGGGGGTGAGGGGTGTCTTGGTAGTGGCTGTGCCCACGCCACTTGGGGAAGCCACACTGCAAAAGTCGTCACAGCTTAGACACCCAGTGCCCACGAGACCCAAGGTGGAATCCCACAGCAGCACGGAGGGAAGCTGGCAGTGGACAGGGCCAGCCTGGGCTACGCAGGGAGGTCAAGGCAGCCTGGGAGACACAGCGGAACCCTGTCTCAAAAAACAGTAATGCCGTAATACCAGTACTACTGATAATAACGGCACCACCGGAGTTTAGGGGCACAGGCTCTGGGGCTACCCTAGACTACCTGGCTCAGACCTAGCCCGAGTTTAGTGGCTGTGTGTCCTCAGGAAAACCATTTCCCTCTCTAAACCTTGGTTTTCTCATCTGCAGAATGGGCTTGCGGGGAGATGAATGTGCTCCCTGCTCTTCACAAGAACCCCCAGGCGGTAGGCTCCCACTGTCCCTGGAAGGACACCAGGGCTCAGATCACACCTCTCCCTCCTTCCCATGCTGAGTCGGCCAATGAGCTGTGTGACCTTGTGTGACCTCGGCCAGGGTGACATCATGCAGCCCCTACAGAGCATCTGGCCTCAAAGGTCCGCATGGCAGGGCCGGTGCCACCTGGGGGAGCCTCTGGGACCACGTCTCTCTAGTGTGCAGCTCCTGGAGTCCCTGCTGAGGTCCTCTCACCCCCAAACCCAGCCTCCCCTGTGCTCCTCACTAATCCCCCAGCAGCCGTGAGAGGGGAGGGGACGTGACTGGCTGACCTCCCCAACACAGAACCCTGCAGGGCCGCCTCTGCCGCTCCCTCGCAGCCACGCCCCTCCCCGCCCCAGCTGGTGTCCAGAGGAAACCTCCTCAGGTTCGAGACCAGCTTGGGCTATATGGTGAGCTCAAGGGCAGCCTGAACCACACAGTGAGACCCTGTCTCAAAAAATAAAACCAAAAAAGACGTAACTATTACAATAAAAGGTGACCGACTCTGGTCCACCCGGCCTCTGCAGGCACAGAACACTGCACCGCCGGGACCCTGTGGGGAAGGATGCGTTCTCCACGGGCGCGCACTCCTGCCCCGAGTCAGGTAGCAGGAGGCACACAGAGACCCAGCATGGGGGACAGTCCCCCCCCACCGTCCCCGCTGGCCGGCTGGGCGCCTCGAGAAGCCAGCACCCTGCGAGGCCAGGTCTGAGAACGCTCCGGAAAAAGCAAAAAGCTAGGGCGACCCAACATAACTCGGGGTGTGTGGGCGGGTGGGGCCGGCAGGGACGCTGCAGGAGCTTCGGTCAGCGGTGCGCGGGGCGCTGTGGCTTCCGGTGGCACGGGGGCGGGGATGTTGGCCCACAACCTGTGTGGCCAGGAGCCCTGTGCTGCCCGGGCTCCTGCCAGGGTCCTGCCCGCCCCCAGGACCCGCGTCAACCCAGGCGCCAAAAGGGGCGCCCCAGCCTCCTCCCTCCTCTGCCCAGGTACAGGGCTGACCTCGGCGAATGCGCGCTCCCAGCCCCCACAGCCCCAGCCGCAGCCAGGCGTGAAATTAACGCGGCCCGCAGGCCCCGCCCGGCTCAGGCAGGACGGCGAGCCAGGGCCGCTCGGCAGCCACCCCAAGCCGAGTGCCCCGCACACACCCCGCCTGGACAGCACCTCGCCCCTTGGACGATCCTGTCCCCTCCCCGCGGTGGGCGGGAGACCCCGGCCGGGACGACTTTCCCTAGCCAGGCTGCGCCCGACTGACCGGCGGGGGTGCCCAAGGGGGACGGCAGTGGGGCTCATGCGGCCGCGGGAAGGCCCCGCAGCGCCAGCGAGGGCCTAGGGTGGGGGCCGTGGGCAAATGGCCCCACACCCGATCCTGGGCCTGTCCATCTGCACTGCCCCGATCTCACAGTGGACGGTAGCCGGGCCCGCAGGCGACCCAGAGAACAAAGCCTGCCGGTCCTGGGCCCATGTCAGCCAGCAGGGGCTTAGAACCTCGGCCCTGGGTTCTCACATGGACCCCTGCCCCAGAGCGCGCACGTGCATGCACACACACACACACACACACACGCGCACACACACACACACACACACACCCCGCTGCAAGCCCAGCTCACAGCACCAGGTCAGAGACCAAGGTGGGCATCCCAGGAGGGGCTGCGTGCGTCCCAGTCTGCTGTGGCCACTTGCAGGCTGGGTTCCTCTGAACAAGCTACGTAACCTCTCTGAACCTCAGAGCCCTCATCTCTAGATCAGGGTACAGGGATCCTGGGAGGCTCTTGTTTTCTGGTACTAACTGAACCCAGGGCTTCCCACTGAGCCCCATCCCCAGGCCTTTTGTATTTTTTATTTGGAAACAGGATTACTAAATTGCCCAGGCTGGGCAGGAACTTGCAACCCACCCGCTTCAGCCTCCCAGAGTGCTGGAATGACAGGCATGTGCCATCACACCTACATTATTCTCTTTCTTTCTGCAGTGCTCACACATGCTAGGCAAGCACTCTGCCACTAAACTACATCGCCAGGCCTTTTTATTTTATTTTGAGGCAGGATCTTGCTAAATTGCCTAGGCTCTCCTTGAACTTGCCATCCTCCTGCCTCAGCCTCCCAAGGAGCCAGGATCACAGGCGGTCCCTGTGCCACCGCCCTTGGTTGGGATCTTGAGAAGTGGACAGAGAATTTGGCAGCTCCGAGCGAGCAAACATAGGTCAGAGCAGGGCTGGGTGTTCCCTGGCTTCGGCCCGCTGAGAACTCAGGCTGCAGGGGCAGAGGCTCCGGCCCAGGCCACGCCCCCACGCCGCAGGCACTGGCGCCCCAGTGCCCAGGCCCCGCCCCCGGCTCCCCCCCGCTCCTGTCCGCGGGAGCAGGCTCCAGAGCGTGCCAGGAGCCCTGGATAAAGGCTGAGTCTGGTTTTCACTCCCCTAAAGTGAAACGCGGCTGTCCCTGCTGAAGCTCAGCTCACAGTGCCAGAACAGGGGGCGGGGCTGGCGGCCCCGAGGGAGGCACGTGGACAGATCCCAGCAGCCGCCCCTCCGGGGCAGCCCAGGCGTCGGTCCAGGGGAGAAACCGGTGACCCTTCTAACTTTATTTTATTTATTCTGAGTCAGGATCTCACTATGTAGACCAGCCTGGCCTCCAATTCATGGTGACCCGCCTGCCTCTGCCTCCTGAGTGCTGGGATGATGGGTGTGTCACCACACCCAGCTGACTCCTCTTACTAACTCTGACAGTTCCATCCCTCCAGATGACCCTGACCACTGTGTCCTCCCTCCAGCCTGCAGCTCGAAGCAGACACGTCTCCTCATGCTCAGCAACCTGCCCCGCAAAGTTCTCCTGGGGTCTGTACCCTGCTCCCCCCAATCCAGACTCCCCCCCACCTCTTCTTGGCCCCCACCTCTATCCCCCCCCAGATGCCAACACCCCCATGTGGCCACCTGTGCCCCACCCCCACATGCTAGGCTTGGGGTCCCCAGCCAACCCAAGTGGGGCACTGCCTGCAGGGAAGGCAGTGTCAGTCTCCCAGGGGATCTGGGTTCCAGGGGTCTGCTCTCCGGTCTCCTGTCTGGCCTCAGTCTCCCCATGTGTGGAGGGAGGTGGCTCACAGCAGATCTCACTGGCCACAGGGCTGCACCGGGGTGGGGGGCAGGAGGGAGCAAAACACAGTGTCCACGACACCTTGGGCAGGGTGTGCAGCCCCCCACTCTCCAATTCGAACCCCCAGTGTGGGCAGTGGCTCCCTGAGGCACCCACAGAGGGGCCCGGCAGACCTGGGGGAGGGACCGTCCCCGTGTGCAATGACCATGCTTACTCTGTGTGTCCCCATCGAATTCCCACAACGCCAGGACTCTGCAGAGCCCACCCTGCCCCCTGGGCGCCTGCCCAGCCCCCACCGGGGCCCTCAGGCCCTCCGACTGCCACCCACGGATGCAGGTCCTATCACCACTGCCACTTCCGGTCTGCCCTGCCCCGGCTGATTCACCCCCAGACTTGCCAGAGTCTCAGAAGTGTAGGGTGTCCCCGTGCCCGAGTCATGACACACAGGCTCATCAGGAGGAGCCCCAGGCCGAGGCCACCAGGCCAGCCGGCTTCCTCCCGTCGCAGGGCTGCAGAGCCGTGCACAGGGCAGCACTGGACAGCAGGGGCGGTGGTGCCCACACTGGTGACGTGGTGGTGTGAAGACAGCACGTCAGGGGTCTCCCTGCCTCCAGAGAGGAGGTGCAGTGGCAGCAGGGAGAGGCTGAAACGGGACACTTTCTGCTGCTGTCCGGAAGGAGCCAGGCTCTCGGGGTACATGGGTGGGAGAGGCTGCTCAGGGCCTCGAAAATCCCAATTCCAGCCCCACCTTCTTCGTATTTATTAATTATGGTGTCAGGGCTTGAACCAGGACATCACACATGCAAGATGAGTGCTCTGCCACTCTGGCTTTTTTTTTTTTAATTTTATTTTGATTTGGTTCTAAATTGCCCAGGCTGCTGTCAAACTTGCAATTCTCCTGCCTCAGCCTCCCAACGGCTGGGATTACAGGCATGTGCCACCACACCTGGTCCAGGTGGCAGTGCTGGCTCCAGCTCTGGTCCTTTAAGAGCCAAGGGT